CAGAGAAAGCCCTCCTCCGAGTACCTACCCTCCTAATTTCTTTCACGGAGGGTTCCCGGAGAAGGGCCTCTCCCACAGATCTCAAGGGGTGGGCGGGCATATATGGACGTAAGCTCTCCTTCAGGTAACCAGGACCCAAGACATTCAGGGCTTTATATGTTATCACCGACACCTTGAATTGGGCCCGGAGCCAGTGAAGCTGATGGAGGACTGGAGTCATGTGAACATAATGCCCAGTCCCCTTCAGCAGCCTGGCAGCTCTATTTTGAACCAGTTGAAGTATCCGGCAAGGGTAGCCCCACGTAGAGCGCGTTACAGAAGTCAAGGCAGGAAGTCACCAACACGTGTGTCACTGTCGCCAGGCAGTTGTACTCCAGGTAGGGGCGCACCTGATGGATCAGCTGAAGCTAAAGGAAAGTGCTCCTCGCCACCACTGTCACCTGAGCTTCCAGTGAAAGCTCTGGGTCGAGGAGCACTCCCAAGCTGCGGACCTTGTCCCTAAGAGGGAGTGCAACCCCATTCAGGACTAGGTTCAATTCACCCTCCCCGAAGCCCAATCCGCCAACCAACATGACCTCCGTCTTGTCTGGATTGAGCTTCAATTTATTGGCCCTCATCCAGCCCATTGCCTCGGCCAGGCACCGGTTCAGCACAGCCACTGCCTCACCTGGATTGGTGGAAAATGAGAGGTAGAGCTGGGTATCATCAGCGTACCGATGATTCCGCAGCCCACACCTCCTGATGACCTCTCCCAGCGGTTTCATGTAGACGTTAAACAGCAAAGGGGACAAAATGGATCCCTGCGGTACTCCATGGCATAGCTGCCATGGTGCAGAGCCATAGTCCCCCAGCACCACCTCCTGGAATCGGCCATTGAGATAGGAGCGGAACCACTGCAAAGCAGTGCCTCCGACCCCCTATCCCGCTAGCCTATCCAGAAGGATACCATGGTCGATGGTATGGAAAGCCGCTGAGAGGTCCAGAAGAACCAACAGGGACGCACTCCCCCTGTCCTTGTCCCTGCACAGGTCATCGTACAGGGTGACCAAGGCAGATTCAGTACCGTACCCGTGTCTGAAGCCAGAATGAAATGGATCCAGATTATTATAGCATATTTACACTGTTATACAAGTTGTATACTCACTACTTTACAATGTCGCAAAGTGTCATTTCTTCAGTGTTGTCACATGAAAAGATACAATAAAATATTTACAAAATGTGAGGGGTGTACTCACTTCTGTGATATACTGTACCTATATAAACACAAACAAATCCCAGAATAACAACTTTGATGGGTTGGTTCTATTGTTCATGTAGAGCAAAGAAGATCCTGAATCTGCTGCAAGATCCCATGCAAAACACACCTCTCTACACTGCTCTGTTGTTTACACTTGCACAAGAGTGCACTATATCTAAATGTGTGTAATAATGATGACAACATGCACACAGCAAAAACAACAACAACAAAAACCAGAAACAAAGCATTCTTCAGATTACCAGTCTGAAATACCTGGTCGCAGAGGGACTGCAAAATAGAAGCCAAGTATTCAGCACATTGCTGATGAATGATGTTATCCCCCGCAGTTCGCATTAAAGACAAAAGCTCCAGGAAAACTTCGGCATATTTTTCATCGCCTTTAGCAGTTCCATTAATCAGATGCAAAATAGCCAGTTTACAAGCTTTGTGTGAAGCCAGGGCATCAAGTAATGCAAGCAAGCGTGTGGTCTGGCCAGTGTACTGCTTCTCTTTATCTTCTGGATTGCTGAAATTACACCAGTGCTTTTATTAAGAAGATAAAATAGACATACTACATACAAGTCTATGACAGAACAAATGCATCATGAAATGATTCAGATATGCATACAGAAAAGTGGTGACATGAATTTTGCTGCAAGTCAGTTTATAATCGATGCATAATTAGTCACAAGCAAGGAAGAGTTTGATGCTACAGACTTGGGTTAGGGATCAGAAACCAGCTTTACAAAATGCTGAAAATAACGGTCAAGATTCAACCTACTCCATCTGGAAAACTAGGTAGGCTCTCAGCAGCAATCCATGATATTTCCCCTTCCATGCTACATCCCTGTCAATCATGCAGGAAGGCTCCACAGCTGTCTGTTCCTTCTACTGGCTCCAATTTCCACCTTCCAGGACATAAGGGCTAAATGAGCACCATGCACAGAGAGACGCAGAAGGTCTATGGCCAAAACTCGCTGCCGACTCATAAGCAAGATAGGAAGGGAGTCATAGCCTATTTCTCAGTCTCAACATACAGGAATCCTAACCTGCACTCAGGCACAGCAGGCTTGACTGAGGCTAATGGGATAAATTTGGCTAATAAATTAAGCAACTTTGGACAAAGCAGCATGATGTACCTTTGTAGATCTTCGACAAGTAGATCTAGAACAGTCCTCATAATAAGAAGAGCAGTTGGTGAAGCCAGGTCACACAACTGAACACAGATGCGCCGCAGCATATGCTGAATAGGCTGACAGGTAGAACCAGAAAATGATCGAACTATTTCTTGAAGCAATTTGGCTTGAACATGAAGATGCATGCTCCATAGCTTCCTGGTGTTGAGAGCCACTGATATGTCATGTGGTTCAATAACCTACAATCAGAAAAATGAAATAAACCTTTCATTTGTTTGGCAAATAAAAAATAAGTGCTACATTAACAGACGACTTCCTGATGGTCTCCTGACAATGAGGAGCCTTCTACAAGTAAGTGTAAACACATGCACACTCACAGAGCGAGAGCGATTTCCCCCAAGCTGTGAAAATCCCCACTCATAGCCCATAATAGAGGGACAACTCCCTACTAGATTCAATGAACAAAGGATTTTTACTTACTTCTCCATGTCTGACTGTGCAGCTTGCTAATGGTAATAGTTCTCATACACTTATTTGGACATTCAGGTGCCACACATGAATGCCTAAAGCTAACTGTCCTCCCCTTGCTATATTTGTATCGTTAAAGACAAATACAAAAAAGAAAAGTTTTGCAAACATATAATCTGCAATTTTGGATGGAAGAAAAAGCAGAAAAAAATGCCAGACTTCATGGAATCAAACAGGTCTGGTTCAACAAAGCTTTAAAATAATGGTTAGGACAGCTTGATTATTTAACTCCACATTTATCAAAAGCAGGATGTTAGACAGAACTGAGGAAAAAACAGAGTGATTGAACAACTGAATATGTTCAGGCAACCCAACTCCAACATAGAAATGTTCTAATAACAACAACAACAACAACAACAACATCCTTCCAGTGAAAACAAGACAGCTCTTCAATCATGCAAGGCAGTAGCCAAGGAAAGTCGGTAAACTTGACCTCTCTTTTTGCATTCACCTCTCCTAGAGAGCAGCTGTAGGGAACAGGGAACCAGTCTATGAGCTGGTACCCATCTGCAGGGAGGCACTGGTTGCAGGATTTCTTGGTTCATTTTCCATACACTTTTGATAAACAGAAATAGTGCAGGAGGCTCTGCAAATGAGCTGATGAATGCCCAGCTCACATGACTGTGGTCTCAGGTCTGCTCAGAATAGTGAGCTCTCTGAATGCAAGAACTGGGGCTCAGCCAAAAGACTGGATGCTCTACCAAACATTTATATAAACATGCAATCAAGTTTTTCCCTTGAAATTAGGGAAAATATTGGTCCTATGCAACAAATTCAATCAACACTCAACTCTTCCAAAAGGTTCTACACAAAATTCTGCCATGAAGCTACTTAGCAGGATGGACAGTTTAAATTAAGTGAATAGATATATATTATGCTGTTAACATAACTGGAAAGCAGTGGTAAGTTTCTAGCCACGAACAGTGGGTATTTATATATATAAAATGTATATACGTGCCAAATTAACATGTTCATTGGTCAGCATTCAGTTGTAAGTTCTTGCCTACCCACCACTCCTCATTTATTTTCTTTTATTTTACATTATTTTGAAAGAAAATTCATATTTTGTATACCTGAGTGGTCTGCATGGGCAGTGGAAGAGGCAGTAATTCAGAAAGAAGTATAAGACCAGAGAAAAATCCTTCTGGAATTCTCAGAACAGAAGTGAGAACTTCTTTCAGCATAAGTGACCAAGTATTATTGGCCAGAGTTTCTTCTGAAATTGTTAGCTTTTCATTAACACCCTGGGTAAAAGTCAATAAGATATCAACAATGTCATTCTGGATTTTTTGTTCATCACTGTCCAAACGTCCTGAGAGGGGAATAGAACACAAGAGCATGTGTAAAGAAATAAGTGCTGAAGGGACTCGCATATCTTTGAATTCAAAGGATCCTCCCCGCAATAGCTCAATTAACATGGTTTTCAAGAGAGTGAGGGTGCATCGAGCCATGGAGATTGTAGTGACTCGATGAAGGGTGGTTCCCATGTTGACATGGAGCCTCCAGGGCTGAATGAGAATACTGTTTAGCTTCTGCAGAACTCGAATAAAAGTGTCCATTCCTTCAGAAGAGAACAGCTGAATGACTGCAAGGTTCCACTTAAGGTCCTTCTGTTGACCTTTAGGACAAGAAAAAAGAGAAAGAAAAACTTCCTTCACATTTCATCTTGCTCCATCATTAAGTAACATAAATTTGCTGCAATGAAATCTGTTAATGGTTATTTTCTGTCAATGGGCAACACTACACGTGTCAAGGTTAAAAACATACATGCGTTAGGAGTTTCCTTAATTAAGAATGTGAAGTAACCCCCATATGTACATATATTATCTCCAATACAATGGTCGTAATGAGCAATAATATTATTTTGTATCACTGCCTAAGTGTTCTTAAATCTGAGATATTCCAATGCAGAAGTCTCTAACACTGTGCCCACAGCATCTTCCAACACTGGCCACAAACCTCTCCAGTGCCTGCACTTTTTAAAAATGTCTTTTAAGAAGCTGCCAGGTTCTCTTTCCTGTTCCTGAACCTGCTGCTAATCAGCAGGGGGATTAATTAGGGAACTAATTAACAGGGAATAAGAGAACAGAAGAGGTCCCACAAACCTCCCCCCTTTGTGTTTGTTCTCTCTGCCCCTCCACTCACAGCTTCTACTATTTCTCCTTCTCTCTTTACCCATTTGCTTTCCTATCTCTTCCTCCCAGCTTCAAGCCTTCACTGTTCCCTAGTCTTTTCCTCATTGCTTCTCCCACGCCAAGCCTTTAGGCTTGCTCTTTCTCTCACTATTTTCCCCTTCCTCCCAGTCACTAGTCTTGCCTGCCTCCCGTCACCCCACCCCAACTATCTCAGTACTTCTTCATCTTCCCAGATACTAGGCTTACTTCTCCCTTCCTCTCTCTGCATGAGAGAGAGAGAGAGAGAGAGAGAGAGAGAGAGAGAGAGAGAGAGAGGAGAGAGAGAGCGCGCGCGTGCGAGCGCACACATTCCTAGGCAGAGGGCACTGACAGAGGAAGGAGTGCTAGGAGAGGAACAGGGCAACTGAGCCTAGGGTTGTGGTAAGGATTTTTTTTTCTTTCCTTTGGGGCTGGACAAAGGTGGATGTGGATGAATAGGACAATCAGAGCAATCATATGTAGGTCTACAAAGAAATAATTGCCACTGAATTCTATTTAAATATATGTAGGACTGCAATCTTACATGGGTGTTTTGTTGTTCTTATGGCCAAGCTTTAGATTCAGACTCTTCCTCTACTTATACCTAGTTTTTGGGTGAATTGTTTTTTGACTAGCCAGGCCTCCACAGAATTCATTATGCCACTAACCACATCCTCCACAGTGGCCATTTTGCTTACAGAAGTTCTTCAAATGCCTAAATGTGTCCACAGATTCAACAACACTGGGAAATCCTGATGTAATTAATGAAAATCAAAAGGGGAAAACAAGTATTATACCTTCAACAGGTGGTGGTGGACATGCAATATGGCATAGAACACGAAGTGCAGTAGGAAGACCGACTCCTTCCTGTGTCATCAAGCTATCAATATTCTTTAAAATAAATAATACAATTCAGATTATTAAATAAATATTCAACAAACTGTAACAGACAATCAAGCTTTACTTCTCTACACCAATGGGTAGGCTTGTGCACTCCATCCTTCTAACCCTTTAGAATGCCTATAATCTATTAGTGTGTGATTCATCAAAATCCAACAACAGATTTTAGAACAGTGTATATCAAACACATTAGTTAATGCTTAACTAGTCTTCATTACATGATCTCAAGTATTCACTCTTACTTAGAAATGTAAAAACCTCCTTGCTAGAGCAAACCAATGTTAATCAGCCCAATATCCTTACAAGAAACCCCCAAACAATTCCTAATTTAATTAATGTTTCAGTAAACAGGATCTGAGAATGGGACAGGGCACAAACTAGATTAGGGCTGCACCTGAGAGATTTGGGTCTTTTTGAAAATGTTTACCACTGCTTTAGCCTCAGTCAGAATTAAAGATTTCAAAGCAAATAGCAGCTATTTGGGGTTGAGAGATCAAATTGTAATTGAACCTAATTATCACTCTTCCCTTCCCATGGCCATTTGCTTTAAAAAAATGCAGTTGAGAATTGCATTAGTAACATGACATCTAGTTTGGCTCTTGCATCAGGCCTGAGCCCTTAAAAGTCAGACATGGGTCTCTAGACCTTAAAGGTGCTTATTCACTTGGCATTGAAATCTAGTTGCTTGCTTACAAAGTAGAGCTTTAGTTAGCATTCCCCTTGACCCTGACAGTCTGTTTTCATGGAACTAAGGATTTTCCTTTTCTGATATGCAGATGGCACGAAGGACACTCACACCACATGAATATTCCTTATCAGCCACTACTTCTACAAGCAAAAGTCAGTAAGGAGCCTATGCTTTGATGTCGGAAACTTTGATCAGCCAGATAGAATGCTCTATACTAGCTCAATGGACTTCATTATTTCTAAGCACCTGTGTAACCAGCAGTATCAAGATCATATCTTTTATCATGTAATATGTTGCACACATAATGTTAAATACCATAAGCCTATAATCTCTACAAGCTAACCATTTTCTTTGTACTCTGGTTCAGTCTGTTTTTGAGGGAGATTCTGCTGACCATCGGAACCCAGCTGACTGGAAACCTACCTTGCAAGGTACCCCTCTGTATGGTGTAAGTGGCTTGCTGCTAAATGTGTTGAAAGTCCAGCTAGCAATTGCAATAATAAATCATCTCCTTCTGGAGTTGGAGTATCACTTTCTGGGAATCCCAAAAAACCTACTGCCCACAGCTGTGGCAACACAGCTCTTAGAAGGACTCTATTTGCAGTAAGATTGACCAGCTAACATACTGTTTTAAATAAGAGCACTCAGCTTGGCAAGGTTTAGTATTGTGTGGCATACTAAATGTAAAACAGACAATACAAAATCGTTCAATAAAAATTTTACTTGTAACAAAATTGAACAAATGAGTATCTAACAGTCTCTATGACAATCCTCTTTCCTGAAACTGTATAAAACAGTTTTATCCTATATGCTTTTATCCTATAGGAGTTTCTCCTATATGCTTAAGAAAATGAAATGTTGTATTGCAAAAAAATAAAACTGAAAAATAAAACCCACTGGGCAGATTGTTTAAGAAAAGTATCAACTGTTTGTTATTTTACTAACCTGTTTAATGTATTCAATGAGATTTGGGATACAATTAATTTCAAACCGAAGGGTTTTCAAAGGCTCCAACCATTTGCCAAGTTCTAAAACAAACAAAGCACTTTGATTAATCTTATTTTATGAAAAATTATATATTTAAAACTGTGACAAGCCTTTCTTTAGGTACCATTCAGTTTAGACTGTATAACAAGTTTAAGTTGCTTTAACTCAAACAATACAGACCCAATGTATACATATGAGCCAAATTTAAACTTTCTGAAATTAATATCATAACAGTTCAGGCAATCTCTTTCTCAATGTAAGAATCAGAGCTCCATTAACACTGCTTTAAAAAACCCTACTTCTTTCAATTTATCATAAGCATCCCTGTCTTAGAGGGGCATCTTAATGTGGTGGGAAAGTTTCAGGGTGTCAGAGAGTCAAGTGTAGTCAAGTGACATGTTAACACTTGTATTGCTTCAGAAAATGCCTAGAAGAGGTTACATTGTTCCACACAAGAAGAACAGGCAGCAGTTAAGAACCACAGGAAGCATCTGCTCTGGACAGAGTATAGTATCAGCAGTTTCAGACTCTGCACAGAAATTGAACTGAAGATGCCAAACACTTTGGACATCGGAAAGCACTGAAAAGACTAAAATCATTCAAATAAAAACTAAATAAACTGAACTTTTAATACTAGGTGGATCCAGGTTTCATCATACTTGGAGAAAACCCATTGAAATCAATAGGACACAGTCATAACCAACCTGTCCTACTGATTTCAACAAGTCTGTTCTAAACATGACTAAGACTGAATTGTTCTTACCATGTAAGAGATTTGATACACAATTTTTTTTAATTTTTTGATTATTTAACAGCAGGTCATATCATAAACTGTTTTTAATAGCCCCTTTATTTCTAAACCTATTATGTGGCATAGGGAGCAGGAAAGACTGCTGTTCAGGAAACATGAGCCCTAACATCTCTTGAGAATGATGTACAGTTCTTTAGATCCTGGCCAGCATGTTATGTGTTAAAGTACATGAAAAAATGCACTAATAGGAATGAGGAAAATTTAAAGAAACACAGGAGTCAAGTATCTTTCTTCCTTAGAGGATTTCAAAGAATTAATGTTTTCTGCAATTATTCCAGTAGGTTAGTACATTACACCAACTAGGATTTTTTTCATGTTTCAAACCCTCTTTGATAACAGGGTAAAGCCACATAGCTTTTCAATGATTCAGCCTAATATCTGTCTATAGAAAAGGAATCTCATTTTACACATCATCAGAAGCCAGATAGTCAGAACATCCTTTTTATAAGCAGCAGAAAGCATTATCCCAACTGTTTCAACTACTGTACCTTGCAATTTGGTATTATTTTCATCAGCTTTGCAAAGCTTCAAAAGGGGTGCTGAGTAATGCTCAAGCATTTGGACATCACTGGAGGACTGAACCACCAACAGAACAAGGATGCAGGCATAATTATAAGCAACTGACTTCTTTGACTTGGAGTCACTGAAACAGAGATTTTTCTTAAAATTGCAACATAATCCTACTTAAAGAACAGATTGAGTTATGCAACTATTTTTAAAAAGAGAAATTTCCTATTACAATAAGTGGGAGGGATATTGTCAAGCTATCCAATGTTAATTTACATAGTTTTTACGCCTTTAGATACACCATTTTTAATTAGTCCATTTAAATTTTCAGAACTTGGAAAAAAACAAACAACAACTTGCAAAAGGAATAAAGAGCAGCACTGCTTTGAACTCAATGCATAGCTCTTATCATTCCTGCAACAGGCAAACTTTCACCTCCATAGCACAAGCTACAGCTGTGTTTACATTCCATAAACTGCTTGGCTGGCTTAGTTTTTTTTTTAATCTGCAACAGGGTGAAGTTACCTGTGGATCTCTAAAGCTGCTGGACTCCAAATTCCATTAGCCCCAATTAGCATGACCAGTAGTCAGACATGATGAACTTTGCAGTCCAATATATGAAGGACCAAAAGTTTGCCAGACCTGATTCACAGCATATAAATCTGGAGTAAGTGTGCAAGAGCATACAAATATATGCATCTAAAATATACTTATCTGCTTATCAATACGTATTTTATGTAAACTGCCTAACAAAAAACAGGAAGCAAGTAATATTTTACACAGCATGAATCCTAAATATTAAGTAGCAGAAATGAGAGAGTTACCCTAATGCTTCTTTGGAATAGAACTCCATTAAGGTAATAAGACTTTGGAGATTCTTCTCAAGGCTGAAGACATGAGCAACAGCAGCTCTTCCTACAGGGTTGAAAGTGATCAAGTAAAGGTTATGAAGTGTTCCCAGGAGATCTGAATGGTCAGTTTCATCAGTGGCTGTGCAACGCTGGAAGTGGCAGAAAAGTTCTGAAATACACTGCAGCGTCTGAGTTGAATGCAGAAGCCATAGGGGAAAAGCTTCGTCACTCGCACCATCTGTTTGGAGACCATCCTCTTGATCAGGATCAGAAAACTGACAAAAGGCTCGAACCAACAAGTTGGTGGCTTCATACTCAGAGAGGAAAAAAAGGAGACCTTTCTGTGACTGTGCCAAGAACCTTAGTATATCCCTGGCAGCCTGAAGCACACCAGGGTGCACATTAGTAATAGGATTTGAAAGCAGCAATGTGAGCGATTCCAAGAAATGCTGATTATGAAGATACCTAGAGAAATACAAAGAGAATTTTGCATGATTTTATTCAATAACATGGTTTAGCAACAGGATTCTTCCATCCCTCAATTTATGATTACTAAGTTACATGCAACCATCTACAAAAATGGCAACTCTTACATTCATGTTACACATGACCATTGTGATTCTGGACAGAGGACCAAACAGCACCAATACAAGAAAGCATTGCAACTAAACACACACACACACACACACACAATCATTTAATTTTGGAACAAGATTTGTTTTACTTGTGATAGTTTCTGTGTTAGTCTTTAGTAAAAGTAGTATTAAAAATGTTTAACTTTTATATAAAGACTACTGTATCTCCCTTCAACTCAAGCAACTAAAATATCAAAGAGTATTCACAGTTAAAAGATTCTTAAACTGACCATAAAAGCTTTCTAGCCCAGTCATTAAAAAGTTAAAACTGATCAATATTTTCATTACTATATCAACAAGCACTAGCAAAGAACTGACAACAAGACTGTTAAACTTCCAAAGCATATTGGTGGGGAAGGGGTTTTAAGGTGATGGGATCAGGCAATTCAGAGGCCAGTAGAACAGAGTGCAAACAGAATGAGGGTGGAGTTGCTCTGAAAAAAACTGTGTTCAAACACTGGGTTAAAAAAAGGACCACTTGGTCATGCTCCAAGTGAGCTATAGTTCCTTCCCCCTCCTTTCGTTATTCCAACAGCCTTGCAAGCAGGCTGGGTTCATCTGCAGCAGCGTGGCTTGCTCACAGCCATTCAATAAGCTTCAGCTACGACTGGGAATCTGAAGCTGTAGCTTCACAGTCTGAATCCAGCTGTCTTATTCTCCACCCTACTGACTTTAAGGAAGGGCAATGAAATGAGAATGTAGAACAACCTTCCCCAACTTGGTGGTCTTCAGAGGCATCTGGACCACAACTCCCAGAATTCCCACTTAGCAGGGCCAGTGACTGGGAAATATGCGTGTTGCAGTCCAAATGCGTCTAGAAAGTACAAGGTAGAGGGAGGCTGATATAGAAAGAAGTTATGAGGCAGCATGGCAAAAGGCATGAAAATTGAAGTAAGAGAAACAGACCAATCTCTTCTGAAACATTTCCAGCATTAAAACACCATCATCTCCCTTCTTAAACAAAGCACACTGTTCCATTAAAGGCTCAAGGCAGGTTGGGGAAGGCATCAAAATATATTTAATACAAGTATAGCCACTTACCTGAAGAGGACTGGGAAAGGGTCATCTCTTTCTGGAGGTCCTGTAATACGTGCTGTTGTTGGGAAAGATTTCACAGGCGGCTGAACCATGGTATGAGGTGCGGTCTCCATCAAATGCAAAATTTCATCCAAAAGGCTAATAAGTTTTTCCACTTCTCCTTCACTTATATTGGAGGACTCTAACAGGTTGTCCATATCCATTGGAGCCTCCACGTCATTTTCATATTCCTGGCTGCCTCTCTCAAGCCCAGTATCTGGATCCTGCTCAGGCTCAGAATGATTAGGAAGGGATGGAGAATTTTCTGCTAATTGATCAGCAAACTTTTTGACCTCTGACAAAATCTCATAGAAGTGGCATTTCTGTAAAATTGCGGAACCTGCTGTGACTACTCTTACTGTTTGGTCCAACAAGATAAGCTCCAGTAATCGCTGATAACCACTTTTTTCATGTGCCTCTAAGCCACTCCTCAGAAAGATCTCCATTCCTTCTGTCATGCTAATGACACTATCCAAAGCTTTGAACGCATTAAGTTTAAGAGAAGAAGAGACATGATCTGCAAAAAGGAGTTCAAATAAAGAATCCACTACTCCTGCTTGCAGGAGTCCTGCTATTCCTCGAGTTCCACATTCTGCCAGTGAGGAGACAAGTTTGGTCCCAGCTTTAAGCTGACGGACATTCAAAGCAATGGGCTGTTTCAATGCTACCTGCAGGTTTAATGATTGCATTGTCCAGTCAACCAATTGGCTTATATAATCCTGATTTGTGTCCTTTAACTGCAGGTAGCTCAGTCCTTTCACGATCAAACCTGGAATTTCTTCCAAAGCAGTAACCCACTTTGCACCTCTTTCTTCTGGATATAATTCAAGGAGTTCAGTTAATTTAACAGAGGCCTCAACAGCTCCCAAATTTTCCTTCTCTGGATCTTGATCTCTCATCTTAGCAACTTCCATCTCAAAAGTGGTCTTGTAGGGACACCCAAAGTACAGAAGCGGCCCAAGCTCCCTATCAAAAGGATCATAGGTCACCGGTGGCACTCTGGCTAGATCTTCAGCAGTGTACTCTATGTCAAAACTTGGATATTTAAATGTCTCCCGTTCCAAGTCAGCAATCCCATCTTCATCACTTGAAATCTGCTCGTAACCATCATCTCCTGAAATGAAGTTTGAAAATGACTTTGATGAATACATGAAACTATATTCTATATCTTTTAAAATTGCTTTTTTCTTCATTTTCACAGATAAAGAAAAAGAAAGAAATGACAAGTTACCAAGGGACCTTGTACAAAAATTGTACATAATACTAGATGTGGGAAATATCACAAAAAATGATAATAGTTATTACATCTACCAAATTTGTAACCACAATTTTGACATAATAATACTTAGTCAAAAATAGTTAAATTAATTAATGCCTAGTTAAGACTAATAATTATTGCATTACAATTGCTTTGACGTAGATATCAAGTAAATAATAATTCACTTTATAACACATCCACAAACCCAGCAACAATTAATAATATATTTCCACCAGATATAATATTTTCTCAGATAAAACAATATCATAATGAAAAAGAAATTAAATTCAAGGAGCTATTATACTAATTTGATAATTATATACATAATACTTAATAAATGCAACTATGTTCAAACCAAGTGCAACTATGTATTAACCAATTAGACAGACAGACAGACAGACAGACAGACAGACAGACAGACAGACAATAAGTATCCTCACTCATATGAGAGTTCACATCAAGGATTTGTTATATGGGGTTCTAGTGATCTTCCTTCAGACAGCAGTCCAGATTTCTAAAAGGCTGCACACTTCAGGGGCCAAGTTTCACACTGAGACTTACTTCCATGTAAACATGTTCAAAGGGAAAAGACTTTGTTTGGCTGACAATACTATTTCATGCTTAATAAAAACCCAAGCAAGTAATGAAGAACAAACAAACCCATATAGACGCAAGCACACATTAATATGCAGAGACTGACCCAAAGAAGGGGAAAATGTTACCAAAAATTATTTTGCCTTAGTGGCCTACAACCAGCTGCAGAACCCCACAAACCCCCTGCTACTGGTTTCTTGGTTTGCTCTCTTTCTGTCTTCTAGAAGCTGGATTGCTGCCATGTGAATCAGTCTGTAAGGTTTAGCATTGTCTGATGTCCTATTTCATTATGTGAACTTGCACCTATCCCAAATAGATGCACAAATTGTACTATGGCAGGCAAGACAAGATGGCTGATCTGCTGGAGAGAGACCTGGGGAAATGATCCACAAGAGGTTCAAAGCTCAGTAGACACATTTTCTCTTTTCTGTACATGGAATGGACCCAACTTTGTTAGAACTTGCAATCAGCACGTCTGAGGAGCACCCATGCGCTGATGACCAAGTCACAGATCCCAGGACCGACTTTGCTAATGAGCCAAGTATCAACAGGGAATGGAGAAAAACCTTGCAGTTTTGCAGGAACTGTCCCAAGACAGACCACCAGCAAATTAGAAGTGCATTCCCTTTCCAGAGCAGCCCAGTACTTCAGTTGCAGGGGGCTTCAGACATCAATGAGCCTCAGGGCAACAGAAGCCTTGGCTGGAGTTGAGCCTCTCTCTAGCTGAACTTCAACAGAGAGACTTTTTCCTCCCTGTGTAAGCCAACAGAGCAAATCATCCACAGATTTACACAGGGTGGGAAAAAAATTCCTCATTCCTGAAAATCAGCTGGAAGACAGGTCCACACAACCTTTCCTACCAAGCAGCTCTGGGGCAATAGGGACCTTAGTAGGGGTGGACTTGCCCTTCTCTCCAGCTGATTTTCAACAAGGCTGTTTCCTTCACTATACACAATAATTATTTTTAAAGTATTTGTGTGTGCCTTTTAAAAAGCATTTGTGAGTCATTGGTTTGCAATCTGCTTTGACCGAATTGATGCCCCGGTTTCACTTGTATCTATAATTAAGCTGATGTCATGCAGCATGGTAAGCTGCATATGTCAAGCACCTTCCTACGCAACTGTGTGCAATTGCTTTTAAAAGATTTGTAAGAATAACACACAAGGAATAGTGAATGGCTCCACAGGAATAGTTTACTTCATGGTAACACATTTCCTGTGGAGGAATTTAAAGCACCTTTACATGGGGCCAGTCATTGATTCATCTCTTCATGACAGATATGATCGTTAAAAGTTAGTAGATGCCTACGGGATATGTTTCTTGGTGAGTTTGGCTGATACTTAAGAAACTGCATTCATGTAGTCAAATAAGATACAGACAAGTTATCTATGTTGTAAACTGCCCGGAGAACTTCAGCTACTGGCAGTACTGAAATGAAATAATATATACTAGTATCTCAGAAGTAGAGAAGATTACTTTTCAAACAGTTTTTTTTTTTTCCCTTGGGGCCTGTGTACCCTTCATTTGGATGATCCTGAGCAAGTTTTGGTACAGAGGAGCTGAGATCCTTGCATATAAGAAAGCTCAGTGATAAAGCATTAGGATTACCTTTCCTTTCTCATTATGCATTTTATGGAAGTAATACTCCATAGCTCCAAGAGTCAAATTAGCAAAACCAAAGTCATAGGTGGAATAACTTTAGAGGTATCTGCAGAAACTCTGTGTAACTTAAATGTATTTACTGTATTTACCCAAAATTCAATTTACTCCCCAGGTATATGTGTATACGCAACTTTACCCGCTTTTATTCGGGACTGAAAGTCCTACTGGTTTATTACTATGTTAAACATCATTTGAAACCATTTCTGCTGCTAAGGGGATCACTTCATTTTCTTTCCTAAGTTCTTTTGGGTTTGTTGGTGGCATTCCCCCACCCCAAACACTGTTGTGTTGGTTGATGGGATCTGTAGTCCAGAACATGTACTATCCTTCTCTCTAATTTGCTTTACACTACTTCAAAATGGCAAGCAATGGCATTCTTTTTTCCCCCTTTTTAAAAAATCTGCTTCTGGTTGCTTATGGGTGGATTTTTGTTGTACTCAGAACTTGTGGCCATCCTTGTTCCTAAGCAATCTGGTCCTTCTGGCTTAAGAACAGGCAATTATTCCATTCCTCTTAATTGTATGTTTTATTTTTTAATACTGTGTGTACTGTTTCTCGCTGTCTCTTCTGAGGTGGTCTGCAGAAAGGGCTGCTTATGTAAAAAGGACTATGTTTCGGCGCCAGGTAAAGACCTTTTTATTTAAACATCATTTCAATTGTTAAAACATATGATCTGGCCTGGGCAACTTCTTCTTCCTTCTCTTTCTCCTCCTATATTTTTATTTTATACTGATAATTTTAATTTTGTATTTGTAAATCAATGTATTTTTTGTATTGTTATATTTAATGGTAATTTATTATGTACTATTGTATTTCAATGTATTTTATCATGTTGTAAGCCGCCCCGAGGTTTCGGCAAGGGGCGGCATAGAAATGTTATAATAATAATAATAATAATAATAATAATAATAATAATAATAATGCTCAGAACCCACTGGCCACATGCTGGAAGCCCTGGAGATATTATTTTGTGTGTAGCCCTGGAGATATTATTTCCCATTTTTCAATGGGTTGCTCCTGAGTTCCAAGGATTACTTCTGTGTGGCTCTGAAAATGTCCTCAACATTATCTTATGTATCTGTATCTATCTTCCTTGCTGTTCTGCATTCATGAAGCTTTTTTCAAGAGGTGGATTTTGGATGCTGTGCTTCGGTGAAGTGCAGTGAAGCAGAATAATGTGAGCTGAAAGGGTGGGTGTGTGTGTGTGTGTGTGTGTGTGTGTAATTCTACTGCTTAGAAACATCACTCAGCCCTTTGCCTCTCATGACCCCTTGGCTCTGCCCTCTGCCGCATCAGCTGCCATGACCTACAATCTTGGCAGCCCTCCCAAGGGATGGAGCCAATGACCTTTATTGCAGTGACTGAGAGCAGTGAAACCAATGTATTTACTTATTAGGCCAATCAATATGCACACTTGGTAGCCAAGCTACTGTTTACCACTTGTTTTTGCTGGAGCTCTGTTGGTGTAGAAAGCAACTTTTAACAAAATAGGTTTTTTAAATGTGAAGAAAAATGAAATGGTGCAATCCTAAGGACAATGCATATGTCATTCCATAAACTCATCACAAACACTAAGGAACCCCTACAGAATCACATTATACATATCACTCATACCAAAACAATGAATACAAGAACAGATGTTTGCATACAATCAGCATGCTGAAACTTAAGCACAGGAAAAATTAAAATATAATTTCAAGAGAAGTAACATCTTGAATAAGAGGATAATCCTAGCTTAAAACTCATATTCATAACAAATTACAGCAATAATATTATTATTGATAGAAAAATGCAAGCCTATACAGCATTCCTTCTCTCATACAAAAATGAACTTGGTCTTTTGACTCTTCCTCAAAGTTAATTGTTAAAACATCCATGATATTTTTAAACTTTATATCTTTTCTCAACTGTTTATTCAAACACTCGAGTTCCCAAAAATTACTTCTGAAATTATAATCTCAGCTGTAAACTCATTGCCTGTTTACTATCAAATGAAAACTTACTTGTGCCAATTGACCATCAGACCAAACAATAAAAAAGTTTCACAAATCTAAATGTCAAGTGAGAAAAAGTGCTTTCAATGAGAACGCCATGCAGTTTTAACTTTGTAACCCACTCAGGGAGCCTTATGGATAATGGGTAAGGAAAAATCACATACGTACATACATAAATTCACATGAGTATTAAGTGTTAAATAATCAAGTGGTGAGAGTGTGAAATGTTTGGGCATGGGAAACAGTGCCCAATCACATCAGTGATGCCTACCTTCACCTTCCTCCTCTTCATCGCCATCTTCCTCCTCCTCCTCCTCTTCCTCCTCCTCTTCCTCCTCCTCTTCCTCCTCCTCCTCCTCTTCCTCCTCCTCCTCTGGAATACTCTCTACTGTTTGACCATCATCATCTTCCTCTTCTTCCTCTTCCTCAACATCCACTCCCTCCTCATCCTCCTCCACTTCTTCTGGCTGGTCTTCTTCCACTTCTGCTTCATCAGAATATGGGCCCTCTTGATGAACGGATGTCCGATCAGGAGAAATGGGCTCAAAGTAATCCTCTCTGTGATCAACATCTTCATCTTTTTCTCCAACCACTGAAATTAACATCATGAAGAATGCATTAAACATTTATTGTAGAAAATATTAGTTTAAGAAATATAGAGAAAGCCTCCTAGAAAAAAAGTCAATTAAGCAGTGCTGCTTTATGATTTAAAGTTCTAGTAAAAGAATTTGTATTATGTTTTATGTTATTTTATGTAAGCCGTTCCGAGGCTATGCGATGGGACAGCATACAAATACGCTAAATAAATAAATAAATAAATAAATAATAGTGTGAACTTTACATATGTTCCAAATCCCCCTCCAGATAATAACTACATGCCCCTTTGGAACAGAAAGGGGGTATTTTTAAAATAAACAGAATCCATCCTCAGCCCCTGTGGTAGAACAAACTAACCACTTTAACAGAGTGCTATTTTCCTTCTGTAGTTGTAAGGCACTGCAAGAGCCAGTGTGGCACGATGTTGGTCTAGGGACCTGGGAGATCCAGGTTCTAGTCCCCACTCAGCCACAAAACTCACTGAATGGCTTTGGGCCAGTTACAGAGTCTCAGCCTAACCTACTTCAAAGGGTTGCTGTTATGAGCACAAGATGGAGTGAAAGAAAACTATATAAGCCTTGGACACTTTGCAAGAGGAAAAAGAGTGGGATTTAAACATGATGTAATAACAACAAAGCAGACTAAGATTTCGTCACAGTGGACTACTGCAGCTATTTGCCTATTCTTCCATACACAGCCTTACCTCCACTTTTCTATTTTTTTTTAAGAGGCTAAATAAAACTATCAGTGCCATGAAGATTAGAGTTCCAATCTACCCACCGAATGCCAAAGGGATAGGATGAGGAAAGTACCCAAGAAAACTTTCAGAAATACATAGTTAAGCAAGACTTTGTAAATTTTGTGCATGTGCCTACAAATGTGAACAAGTAAACTAAACTGGATGCAAACTTTGTTGGGCATACGCTTGTGGGAAAACCTTATTTCCATAGTGCATAATGTATGAAGCAGTCCATAGTTCTCACCTTCCAGCCTGACACTGTCATTTCATACATAAGTGTTCAAGGTGATGTCATTTTACAACTGCATAGGGTTCAAGGTGATGTCATTTTACAACTCATTGTAAATATCAAACCACTACAGCTATAGGAAAAAGTAATACATTCAAAAATAATTCTGGTATTAGTTATCCTACTAGCAGTATGACCACAAGGTTTTCCACACAAATTACACATATGCAATAAAAATGGAATCTTTATGTACCTGGAACAGGCATTGGCTCATCTTCATCATCATCAGGAGGAGGGGGACCTGGTGGAGTCCTTGGTCCTCTGGGCTGTGGTCGTGGAGGACTGCCATTGAACTGATCCTCTTTCTCTCCATCTGCTGATAAAAAATGTTTTTACACAAAGAAATGAGTTGGTTGTTTTCAGAATGACACTACTAGAAAGGAAGTAAGGGCCCAAATGGTCTGCATAAAATTCCACTTGGTTTAAAAAATAGCATTTTGGAGCAGGGGGGTGCTGGAGCAATTGCTGATAAATAACAGCCTCCAGGACATACATTATAATTTCTGCTCTTAAATAAGAAAGCTTTTAAAATTCAGGCACTGTTGAATGGAAAATGCTCTGGGGAGGGGAGACTCTGATGGACACTCTGTATACATGATTGCATAGACCACAGACAAAAGCTCCAGATGAAAGTAGTAGTAAAAATAAATATGTAATGCTAGATGATTTGACTTACATGGGTCAAAAGTCATTTTGTAAGCTGAAGACATTTTTAAAGAAACATCCAATTATATTAGTTTTTAAAATCCTCACCAAGTTTTGGAGTTCTTTTCAATGTTGTTTGTTGCTGAGGAGGGGGCGGTGGTGGAGGAGGAGGAGGAGGAGAGTCCCTGTCATGGCTTACTACTCTATCAACAGAGCCATATATTGCCAGCGTCAGGCAGTTGTACCAGCCTCTTAAAACTAGCCCATCTGTGTTGACCTGGATGTGAAAGAAAAGACAAAACTTTAAGTAGAATCCAAAGGAAACCCAGCCCAAAGCTGTTTAAGGCTCTATAGGTAACAGCCAGCCCTTTTGAGTTGTGCCTGGAAACAGAGTAGCAACAGAGCATCTGTGGCATTTTAGATTTTATGTGACTTACCAGCAACAAAAATGAAAAAGGCACTTTCCAAATGCTTGAGTCACAAGCCTATGTACGAGTAGCAGTTCTGACAGCCTCAGCTTTTATTTTAAAAGGTTCTACCAAGAGAGCTATCTGTCTGAAATATGTGCACTCAGTGTCCAAAAATTTCTTTGAAAACTAAGTACCCCATAAAAGTGTTTTATGGACAAAGAAAGGATAGAATTTGAAAGAAGGCTGGTTATTTTATCAATAAAAGATAAGGTTTGCTCTTGCTTACTCATTCTCTTGTACTGCTTAAGTTTCATCAAATAAAAGGCACTTGATGTAGAGAGGAAACATGTAGAAAGGAAGAAAATGCATCTTGGCAGTAGGCTCTTCCCATCTGCCCACGCATACCCATTTAAATATCAGAAAAGATTCTAAGTGCATATACTGCCTACCAGCACAATGCTGCTCTTCTCCCTAACTCACTCCAGGTGCATTTGTTATATGCAAAAATGTCTTGAAAGAGCTTCAGATGGTGTTCGGTAAGCTGGTGCTTATCTTGATTCTTCCTCCACCATTTTTCAGATATTTTCCTGCACCATTTGAGTTACATTTCCATTTCCCATAGCAGTTCAGAGCAAAAAATAACACACAGTAAAATAAAAAGATAGGTACAGAAGCTTCACAATTCAATAAGCCAGAGGAACCACAAAACCACAATTAAAATCAGCTATTCAACATGCTGGAATGTCTGGGAAATTTTTATAAAGAATTCTTTGTCTAGACAAGCTAGAGTGGGCATCTAGCAAGTTGTTCTGAGAAAGGCATTCCGGATGTGCACCACGATGGTTGAAAATGTCCTTAGTTCTTCATCTCAGTTGGTGGTAGGGAACAGACAAAGGCTGCCAACACAGATCACAAGGTTCAGGCAGGCTCATGCAGAACAAGGTGATCCTAGAGTTGAAGAAAACCCTTTTGGAATCCTTCATTCCGGAATCATGGACTTCTGTTCAGTCTGGTCCTGCAATCATGTTGAGCCAAGGGGAAGTCTGTAAACAGCTGCAGACCCCCCGGCTGCACAACTGGCAAGCTTCGCCATCAGCAGTGGTGGCAGGATGTGAAAAAGGGGAGTTGTGAGCAGGTGCACCAGCCACCACTTCTGGTGACTAACCTTCTTCCCAGCTTGCTACTGTCACTAGCAGCACATGCAGAAATGGGGCACTGCAAGTGCATGTACCAGCCACCGTTCCCAGCAACCTACCTTCTTCCCTGACCACTGCTGCCGGCATTAGCAGCACGTGCAAAAACAGGAGTGCAGCAAATGGGCACACTGGCTGCCATTCCTACTGACCAGCCATCTTCTCCCTGGAAGAACTGCACTGCCTGAGCAGTGCATGCAGAGTCCAGGAGGCCAAAACCAGCAAATCTGATGGATTTTCCATAGAAAATGCATTCCTCACACATCCCTAGGGGGTCCTTCAGGTAGCGAACTCCAAGCTACTTAGGGCTTTATAGCTAACACCCAGAATTTCTGAATTGTGAATAGAAACAGAATGACAATCAGAATAGCCATTTAAACATTAGTGAGAGATCCTTTCTGTGGATGGGCCAATTAGTTAGCTAACAGCTATGCTGCATATGGACTTTTAAAAGAAAATATCAAAAGTAACCCCATGTACAAAACATGGTAAGAGTTCAATGAAAAGGTTGTCAGGTAATGGGTAACAGTAGCCAGACTCTCTATCCAGGAGAGATCACTAACAGATATGGAATTAAAATTAAAAAGAGTAAAAATTTACAAATGATAATTACCTTTGCATTGGGCCTAAAAATAATGGAAGAGTTCTCATCATATTCCAGGCTGTTAAAGAGAACAGAAACACATGTTGAATGTTGAAAGAACTGGAATTTACACTTGCATCTTGTGTTAGCCACTGTCACAGTAGAACTTCCTTTCAAGCTTATTTGAAACTTACTACTCTTGGGATCAGGAGAGTGACTTTTTACATCAGGTGTCAGAATAGAGGGACCCTAAGTCAGTATTGTAGTTTTTATTATAAGCAAGGAACTGGCAGCTTGATCCCACAGATTAGCTTCCACTGAAGCAGCACAACTGCTACTTCCCTGCAAAAGAAGGACCCTATTTCTGACAAATGGGGCAGTATCAGATGATTTCCCCACATCCTACCCACAACCTCACTTTTATGTGTTGGCTGCCTCTACAATCCCCACAGCCTTGAAAATGATTGTGCCATGCAAGGGCCATAGAGAGGATCTAGCCCTGTCCAGCCAAGTAGCTTAAGTGCCTTCCATCCCTCTTACCTCTGTGGAGAGGCCAGAATTAGACCTAACTAAGGCAGTGTGGTTACATAGCAGGCTTACATACAAAGATAAGACATCATTTTCAGCTCAAGTCAGGGTTACGTGACATTTCATTAACAAGACTGCAATGTTGACAAGAAGCATAGAAAAATCAACCCCAAATTTGTACCATTTCCTTCCCATTAAAGGTACTTGAACATCTCCAATGTTCAAATCTTTGGCAAACTCTCCTCTGTACTTAAATGGTTAGGGTTGCATGGAAGTACAAAGCTGGTGCCACTGGGGGAAGTATGATAATCTCACTTTCAATTCCTCCCCTATCCATAGTTTGTTCCTTCGTTGGCCTAAGCTCTTCTTAAGTATTACATTAGCTCCAACAATTATCACAGTTAACATTAACAAGGATTCTATTTTAACTAGGGTTACTGGAAGCAACTTGCTTTGAAAAAAAAAAGAGGAGACTTGAGAAAGAAGTGTATAACATTGCAGCCTGCTTCCAGTTTCTCATCTGTAGATCCCCAACATTACATCTACATCAGCCATAAAATATTATACACTTTGCCAGAAAATACTAAGTGCAAGAGTTCCCAGATCTTTTGCAACATGGACATCCCTTCTCTGAAAGCAGTAGTTTGGAGGTAGTCATGCCCTTGCATGGCTCATTTGCAAATCAATTCAGTCTGTTGCACATTCTGTGACCAACATTAGGAGCTCTTTAGCATCTTAACAGGGTTACAGAATGGTGCAGCTAGGCAGACTGTCCCTCAGAAAACGAAGAGACAGTCAGAAAAATCTTCTGGTTATAGCAAATTCACTGCCATGTGCTATACTCTCAAACAAATCAGAACCTGATCCAGTGGAAGAACTCACAAGTCTATTTTCTGAAAATTATACATTTACAGCTTTGAAGATATGACAACCAAGGCACTTAAGAATAAATTGTATACATGCTTACCTTCCCAGCCTGTCAAATACAGGGGCACTTGGCTTGCTGACATTGTTGAAAAACAAGTCTAACTGAAATGTGTGAGGGGATGTTTCACTGGAAATAGAGCCAAAGTTAAAAAAAGGAATTACTTTAGACAAGTCTGATAAGCAAGATAAACAAGCCTTGGATTGTTAATTGTAATACAGTTAATTATCTGCAAGAAGCTAAAAACTCTCAATTAAAAAAATACACTCAACTTTTACATTATAAAGGTTCCATTCCATTATAGCCTGGTATGCAACAATAACCCAGTTTGTGGTTTATGAATGCACACAGCCCAACTGCTCACGCTGCTAGCAGAAACAGTGGAAGGATTCAGGGATATTTGGCCCTTGGGTTTTCAGAGAAAACTCTGGCTTCTCTCTCCTGCAAAAAGTGAGAGAAACAACCATAAAACAAACTATGGTTTCTTTCTCTGGGATGCTGAAGGAAGGACAAGCCATATATTCAGATTTGAATGTGATGTTAAACAATCAGGAGACAAAGAATTCTTGAGTTATTAACTGTGAAGTAGGCAGCATAAAGCAGCACTCTATTGCATTCACAACAATGGAGATTGGCCTGAATACAAACTAAGCCCACAAACTAGACCTACAAGCCTTTGTGTAAAAATATAGTATTTAACTTTGTTAGGTTCTTTCATACTACATTAATAAAAGTTCAAATTGTATAAATGCACACAAACACAAGGTCCAAAAAACAATTGTTTATTTATTGGTATATTTATTTGTATATCAGTTCAAATTTCCAGAACTGGTTCAAATTTCCAGTTTTAAACCAAATCCAATGACACCACACATTTAAAAAAACTGTCAACACACCCTTTCGCAACAAAGATCTTCTTATGACTTTGCTTTGCATTTAACAGTTTACTTTTTGACCCGTCACAGCAAAGACATGTAACATAAAAACATGGGGGTGGGGGGAGCAAGTCAGAAGGGGTCTCCAGGGCCATCTAGTCTTACCCCTGGCTCCGGCTGGCTCCATGTATGTAATCCCCAACATGCGGTTGTCCAATCTTTCCTTGAACACCCTCACTGATGAGGCCTCAACCACCTCCCTTGGAAGCCCATTCCATATTCTAGGGGTCCTAACTGTCAGGAAGTACTTCCTGACATCCAGTTTGAAGCCTGGTTCCTTGAGCTTTGCCCAATTGGAACACGTCCTGCCCTCCACTGCAGGGAAGAACAGATCACAGCCTTCTTCCACATGGCATCCCCTCACATACCTATAAGTCACTAAAAGATCCCCTCGGAGTCTCTGCTTTTCCAGGCTGAAAAGACCCAATTCCCTCAATCTCTCCTCATATGTCATCCCTCCCAACCCAGCTACCATTCTTGTGACCCTGTGCTGAACTGATTCTAACCTAGCTACATCTTATAATGTGGAGCCCAGAACCGGATGTAGTACTCCAGCTGTGGGTGCACCAGAGTCGTGTGCAGCAGTATCAACATCTCCCTAGATCTGGAAGCCATGTTTATGGCTATACATCTAAGGTAGCATTTGCCTTCTTAACTGCTGCATCACTGCTGGCTCATGTTCAGCCTGCTGTCAACAAGTACCCCGAGGTCCCTTTCACAAGTGCTGCTCTCCAGCCACTTGTCCCCCAGCCTGTACCTGTGACACCTATTCCTGTGTCCCAAGTGCAACACCTTGCACTTATCCACATTGAATGCCATCCTATTGCCCCACCCACTTCCACAGCCTGTCCATATCCTCCTGTATCTGGATCACCTGCTCCTCAGTTGTGCCCACTGCCCCCACTTTGGTATTATCCACAAATTTAGTCAGCAGACTGGCTATCCCCTCCTCCATGTCATTGATAAAAAGGTATCTGAAGTCTATCTTTGACGGACAGCAAAAGAAGCCATCCTGTGGCAAGCAGTCCAGGTTTCCATGACATAACAACTCATAGTGACTAGTTACCCATCGTAAGTTGCTGTGTTGTACAAATTCAAACATTGCATGGCCTTGGGCATGTTACATTCAATCATACCCAGCACCCCCTGCCCTTTACAATGAGAACAAAAGCCTACCCCACATGGAGTGTGAAGAAAAAGGCCCCACAAACAAAAATAGCTGCACCAACATGTACTAACATAAGTAAGAAGCTTTAAGCATCTTGCACTTACCCATAAGCTCTATTTTCAGGTAAGTTAGAGTGAGCTCTTACTCCTGGAGGGATGACACGCACTTCATTGATGTAAACTACGCATGGGAAGCGAACGACGTCTACATTAGTACTTTGCTAAAAATAAATTAAAAAAGCAAACAAAACTCATGACATTTGAAATAAGCCTCTTCATTTGCCTTCATAAGCACCCTGAAATCTCCCAAAGGGAAAGATCATGGCACAGAGCCCAGAAATTGCCTAAAAAGCAAGCAATAGTGCCACAGCTGTATCAATCCATTTTTCATAACATGTGCAACCCACACCATTTATGGGCAAGGCCATAATAACAACATTCTGCCAATAAGCACAGTTTTTGAGGAACACAGTGCAATTCTTATCCTTTTACAGATTACCTACCCCCTGTGATAAATATGTTAATACTGCATATCATATATTGTGATGTACTTTCTCTCCCCCCTTTCTCTCTCTCTCTCTCTCTCTCTCTATTCTTCAATTTTATTTTTGTAGTATTTCATGAATTTCTGCTTATCATTTTATCATACATCACCTTGAAGGGCAACAGAAACATTCCCCAAATAAATGTGCAATCTATTAAGCTCACCAATGACTTACTAACTTTCTTCTCTTCCTGCCTACTTGAAACTTACTGTTATATTTTATTTGTGTTACAGCCATGAACAGCATTTGGTAGAAAAGCAGGACACACATTTAACACTAGATCCACAACTGAATGACAGGGAGTGCCATTAAACATCATGCATACCACAATCATGGCAGTTAAGTGTATTCAGCTTGGTAGGTCAAGTGGTTATGCAAGCCTATACTCTAACTCAGTCTAGAATTACAAGTAAGTTCTGATGCACACCTGATGGCACAACTATGTGGGCTTGCCCATTTAACTCAAGTGGGAGGGATATCCATTCCAAGACACAGAGTTGCCCCTTTCATGGCATTTTTTGTAGCTGGACTTGCCCCAAAAATGTCCACAAAAATTTACTAAATCAAGCTTTTATGAACAAAATTAGAGTTTAATTACATAACAGAAAAAATATTACTTAGGCAGGATTATAACTGAAACCTCAAACTTTTCTGCATATCTTCACAGCTCTTCTACCTCAAACTTTTTCTATGCCAAATAACTTTTTAAAACCTTGCTATTCTCCTAAAAAGTGTCCAAAATAATCTCTATGCTTATTTGGCTGATTAAAAAATAGTTCAAGTAAGAGTCCTTCATACCGAGGAACACAAGAGAAGCATACTAAAATCTTAAAAAAAGATTCTGAAGGTATGATTTATGAATGTTATTTTGTGTTATGAATGTTAATAAAAATGAATGTTATTTTTGCTATTTTCTAAGCCTATCCTAGATAATTTGTCACAGTCCTGATGAACTTGCATGATAGAATCATGCACACTCAATAAAATAAATGCATGGTATAGTAAGTTAGACTTTTCTTTCCAAAGAAGAGGATTAATACTCTTAGATAAATGTATTGCTTTCAGAATGCTCTATTTGATTTGAAGATCTCATTTAAATCTGAGAACACAGCCCACCTAATTCAAACATCTCTATAAGCACATAAGTACATGGGACCACCTACAGAACTCTTCACACATTCCACCTTTGGGAACATATATGTCTTAAAAGGATAAATGTCAAAAGCTGTAGTACAGAATAATCACAGCCTTCAGCCTATCACACTTGTATGATTTAATGCTTACCGGAGTATAACAGAATATATTTACAAATGCATAGTTTTTATTAATTCTATTTCTTTGGTGGTTGGCTGCACTGCACAAGCAATGATATATCAATACTGCTAGAGTTCACTCCATCCCACAAATATTACAAGAGGTACTGCAGATTTGCAGTTACAAATGTTTCACACAGGATTTCTCCTACTGAGCCAAATATCTGACCCTTCAGTACTTACGTACAGTGGTACCTTGGCTCACAAACTTAATCCATTTCAGGACTCTGGTTGTGACCAAAAATGGTCGTGAGCCAAGTTAAAATTCCCCATAAGGTTCAGTGTAAATAAGGTAAATCCATTCTGTAAGTTTTTTTTTTTAATCGGAAAAATGTAAAGCAAAGTGACAAAGAACAACAAAAATCGCGGCCATCCCCCTCTCCCAGAGCACAAGTGCAACCATCTCCCCGCCCCCTCAGAGATCGCACCCGTCATCCCAGCCTGCCCCTGTCATCCTGGTGCACTGGGGGGGG